AGAAAAATGTGATTTAGCAATATTTGTTTTTATATGTATATTAGAATCTTTAGAATTTATAGAATTTGGAATTAATGAAGGTATAGATTTTTTTCTTTCTTCTTTAAGTTCTATATTTGGATCTGTTGCTGTAGCATTAGGTTGAATATGATGGGGTGGAATTGTATGATTTTGTTGTCGATCATTTGTAGCAACTACACCAGTAATTTCTTTTTTAACATTTTCTTCTACTACATTATTATTTTCTTGTTGCCATTGAGATGCATTATTATCATTCATTTCTTTCCATGACTGTGAAATTTCAGTATTTGTTGCTTGTGACCAAGTATTGAATTCATCATTAGCATTATAACTTTGTGATATTTGTTGACTTTGATTTAACAATGTAGATTCTTGATTTTGAGTATTCCATTGAGAAGATGACATATTAATTTGATTGGACCAATTTTCATCATTTGCATCATTTATAGAATGTTCTTTATTGTCTGTAGAAGATGGAAGGTGTTGAATTGATCTTGTTTGTTGCATTTGTGATGTATATTGATTACTTATATTATCAAAATTTTGTGCTTCTTTATCCATTTTTTGATCTTGCCAATGTCCTGATACATTACTCTGATTTTGCCAATTTTGTGGGGCTATTAAATTTGTCTGATCAGGTTTAATCCAATTGTAATTGCTACTAACTAAAACAGGACGTGATGTTTGATGTTTTTGATTTTGTATACTTGATTTTTGTTGTGAATATGAAACATTTTGAGACTGATCACTTGTCCATTGAAGCTGATCAAAATTCATAGAACCAGATTTCATAGAATTTGTTCGAGGTGGTGGTGCATACTGCTGATATTGATTATAATTTGAATAAGGTGTAAAAGAATCTGTATGATTAGGAACTAGAGGTCTACTAGCAATATTTCCTGATGTGTTTCTATCTGGCATTGAATTCTGATTAAGCAAATCAGATTTTTTACCATTAATATTTTGATAATAGTGGTCCTGAACAGAATTAGATATCAATTGTCCTTGATTATATGAAGGTATATAATGTTGTTGTTGTCGTTCTTGTTGTGATGATTGTTGTTGTTGATTATCTGTTTGTTTATCAAAATCCCAGTTCCATGAATTATTCCAAGGATCATTTGATTGTTTTGGTTGATTCAGAAGAGATGGTTGATGTTGAATGGAATCATTTGATGATACTTGTGATGGTACTCTAGACATTGGATTCCATACATTCTGATTATGAGTTCCATATCCTAAACTGTGATCTACTCTAGACCTAGATGGTCTAGCTCTATAAGGATTCTATAAGTATGTTTTATAAGATGTTAATAAGTAAAAATCAAATTTAATTTTTTTATAATATTATATTTTAAATTTTACTTACACTCATATTGCCTTTATGATAGCAAAGATTGTTTCTTATTTACACAAAATCTATAAAACAATAAATAATTTATATATAATATTCATTTATATTATTATAAATAAAAGTTTTAAACAATCAGTTATGAGAATTTTATTATTTTTTTACAAAACTATTATATTATATATTATATTATATATTAGTTATACATTTATAGTATATATTATACATTTAAATATTTATGAATGTTTTTGAAAAAATTCAAAACATAATTTTAAAAAATATTATATTAATAAAATATATATAAAATTTTTATATAGCACAGAAAATATATATGAAGATGTCATTAAATATTTATTTTTCATAGTTTTAATAACATTTCTGTTGAACATATTGAAAAAATGACATTTTGCAAAGTAAAAATAAATCAAAAAATTAATTAAGATTTTTACATCAACATTAATAATAGTTTATTTTGAAAAACAAAATTCCTTAAAACTTTCGTACTAAAAGTTTAAAATTACTATAATTATATAACGAAAATCATGAGAGAGCAGTTATTGTATGCAAATAATATAACTGATAAATAAAAAAAAACTAAAAAATGAAAAATTGAAAACATCGTATCGAAAGTTGGGATACCAGCTGTGATATCCAACTTAGCGTTCAGGGACCTCTCGTACGTTCACTCACCTAACTATCGTGTCTGGCACTGGTGTCCATACGCGAGAATAAGCATTATTTTTTCTCACAAAACATTCGAATTGTTACTTTAATAAAATCAATCGTTTATCGACGTAAATCAAATTTTTACGAAACAAAATGAAAAAATCACAAATATGTAGACATTTTATGAATACTATAAGGAAGATGTGGGTTAAGCACGTCACGAATTTTTCTCGTTGACTTTCCACGCGAGCAGAACCATAGACGCGCACAGCGCGGACGCGTTGATCTCAAACGTCAAAAAGATCTCTAATAAAATCTCGTTAGATGGCATTGTAATATAATTTAAAATATTTTATAAAATAAAAATATAATTTAAAATATTTTATAAAGTACAAAAATATTTAATTAATTAATCAAATTTTTAATTAATAACTTGTTAATAAAAATAAAATAATGATTTTTATAAATTTATAAAAAAATGTCAAAATATTATTAATATTTAATAAGATATTATTTATCTGATATGAAATAAATAATTATAAATCTTATAATTTATTTATTTTTGCTCATTTTATTGCAATTAGTAATCTAAATTATTAATGAATAATATTATATTATTTCGAATATTTATAATTAAATTAATCATAGAATATAAAAACGATTGATATGAAAAACATAGTTATAATGTATTCAATGGAAGCTTTAAAATATTCCACAGTGACTGACGTGGTATGTTAAGAGTGGATCGTGGATTAAACGAAGCGGTCACACCGTGGCCAGTTCTACGTAAATGGATTGCAGGTGGTGAAGAATTGATTATTTCACAAAGATTTTAATATTTTTTTTCTACATATTTGGTGAAAGAATTAATTAAACTCTACTAAAATGGTGTTGTTAACGATGATTGCAAGGATAATAGATGGTTTACCATTAGCAGCAACTATGCAAGAAGATGAACAGGTTAGAAATCTGTTATGATGAAACGTCAATTTATTCTTGAATTTAAAAAATTTTTTGATTTTTATTATTTATATAACAAATCATTTTATGTGATTTTTCAAATATAATTATATAATTATAATTTATTTATAAATTATTAATTAAAATAATATATTAATATTTTTTATTAAAATAAAATATGCAACTATAAGATTTTTAATCAATTAAAAATTATTATTTTTTATTATTTTTATTGATTTTTTAATATGCTTATTTTCAGATTTGTATCAAATATTTTTCATATAAACTTAAATAATATTAATATTTTTAATTAATGTCATATGTTTATTAAATAAGTAAAAACGTTTTTATTTATTAATTATTTTTTAATTCTTTTTAGACAGGAAGAAGTATTTTGGAATATCAGAATCAAGCAAAAATGTTATTTAGAAGATTGGGACCTCAATCTCCAACTAGATGTACTATAGAAACAGGTCCATATTTATTCCAGTAAGTTTCTTTATGTTACAACCTATAAATTATATAATAATAAATTATCAGTTGTTTTAATTTACAGTTATTTAATTGAAAATGATGTATGCTATTTAGTATTATGTGAAAAGAACTATAGTAAACGGATTGCATATAGTTATCTTGAAGACATAGCACAAGAATTTCATTCATTATATGGTAGACGTGTTAATTCAGTTACTAGGCCCTATAGTTTTATTGAATTCAGTATGTATCACTTTTCTTATTCTATTTTATATTTTATATTTTATAATTTAATTTTTGTTCTATATTTAAGAATTTTTTTTATTTTTTCAGATACATATATTCAAAAAGCAAAGAAAGTTTTTTTAGATGGTAGGTCAAGAAGAAATATGAATGCACTCAACAGCCAACTACAAGATGTGCAAAGAATTATGGTTCAAAATATAGATGATGTTTTGCAGAGGGGTACAGTTCTTTCAGGTAATAATATAATATATATATATTTTATATATAAAATTAATCTTATTTAATTTCATTAATAATCAAATTAAATATTTTTTACTGAATCATTTTACAGAACTAGATACAAAGACACAAAATTTGTCTATGTTATCACAAAAATATAAAAAGGATGCAACTTACTTAAATAGTAAGTCTATGTATGTAAAGGCTGTGGCTGGACTCGTTGCATTTTTAGTCTTCCTGTTATATTTTTTTATTCTTTAGTTCTTCAATTTATTTGATATATTAATTATTATCTAAAATTTGGTTTTTATCATTATTATTCCCCATATTGTTTTTTTTTTTGGGTGTAGCAAATATTTTTTTTCTGCGAATTTACTTTTTCATATAATATATTTAAATGTTAAGTCTATTTAAAATTAAAAACAATGTACATATATTGTATTCAGAGAAAAACTAGTCGCCAGGAATATAATGATATTGATATCATTCAAGATATGACTTTCATATATTATCATGCAGTAAATATAACAGTTCTTTACAAAATTAATACATTATTTGGTTTAATTTAGTAAAAAATAATATTAAGTATTCCATAAAAAATAGACAATATATACAATCATTGTTATTGTTATATTAAAAATTAACGTTATTTTTTTATTTTATTTATAAGCTAAAAAAATATTACATTCAAGATTAAGACATTTTATCATATATATACATATATATATATATATATATGATATATGAATAGTATATATATATATGATTTTACATAATTTATAAAATTCTTAATAATTTACTGTTTAAAAAACAGTAAAATAAAACAAATTTATTCCTGTGATTTTATTATTCTCTGAAATTTAAAAATATTAAATATATGCGTTTATGTATTTACATTTTTGGATGTGGAATCAATGACTCATTAATATTATTCTATTTATATATAATTCAGTTGTATTAATCAATTGAAATGTTGTATTTATATAATAAAAAAAAATTGAATTGTATATTAATTCGAATTAAAAAGGAAAAAAAATCGATTTATCTATAAAATTTTACAATGTATAATAAAAAGATATTTTATTGTCCCATTTTAATTAATTCATCATAATTGGGAATATTAAAATTTGATAAACATTCATTGTTTCGATCATCATTTAGTTTTTCCTCTTCAGAATCGGAAAAATCAGAATTAAAAAAATAATTCACAGTTGAATTTTTTTCTTTTATATTTGTTTGATTATGTGTTTCTTTATTTTTTTTTAATATATTATTGTGAATAGTAGTAGTTTTTGAAATATTTTCATCTTCATCATCTATATAAAAGATTAATTCATATATTATAAAATGAATTATATTATAAAAAAAATTATAATTTTAAAAGATAATAATTATATATGAAAAACATACCCGTATCTATTATTTCATACATATATGAATGATCTTTCAAAATTACATATATTATTGGAAATTCAATTATAATTTTATTTTCTAAGTTTTCCTTTAATGAAAGTGTGATGTCCAATTCATAAAACCTAATCATTAATAATTTAGTCATTTTATTTAAAAGATTATAGAGATTAAATATACTTACTTTAAATTTGATTTTACAACTTTTTCTGCTTTCAAAAGAACTTTTATTCCATATAAACCAGCTGCTTGATAAAATTGTAATTTTTCATTTAAAGATATTCTTAGATTTAATTCCTCTATATCACTTTTATTTTTTACTGATTTAATAGGATATAAAATCTCTTCTAAAAGTGATGATAATCTTATGGATTCTAAAGCTCTGTAATAATTGCAATATTTATTATGATAATGAATCATAATATATATATATATATAAATCATATTATATAAATATGAAAAGAAATTTTACCTTTCTGTAATCCATTTCGTGCATTCTGCTTGAGGGAAAATCCATTCTATTCTCCAATATAATTCGTTACTTTTCCAATTTAAATATGTTGTATTATTTTTATGCCTACTAAAATGTTGTGGCATAAATTGTAAAGTAATATTCCTTTTGATTGCAGCTATTCTTAATTTATTCAAATGCTATAATAATAATATTTATAACATAAATCTTCCATATATATATAAAAAATACATATATAAAAGAAATAAATATTTTAACAAACCACTGGTAAATTGATTCGACGTGTACACTTTTTAAATGGATCTCTTTTCAATTGATCAACTGTTCTACCTACTTCTTCAAGAAGCCTATAATCTATAAAATGATAAATATTTAAAAAATTTGTTAATGATTTATAAAATTCAACTTACCGCTCAAAATATCTAAATCCGTAAATGATTTTAATGGTATAAATTTTGTTCTATCTCGAATACCATCACATTCTAATTCTTTTTTATGAATATTTATACATTGAAGACAACAAGTCCTAACCTCACATTTTGGACATGTATATTTTGCTTTATTTTCACCGCATACTTCACAATCTTCAATCCTATAAATAATAATACATCAATTTTAATATACATTCATAAGTTGAAGAAATTAAAATATAATTAATATTATTTTAATTGAATAATAATATCGTAATTTTAAAAATATCATACTTGACATTAGACGTGGCCATATTGAATATTGTCTTGTAAATCATTTACAGTTATATATAAATCATGTAATACTATTTTACTAATATTTAAAATCATTAATTATATGTAATATATAAAAATAGGATTATTAACAAAATAAATATTGTTATATTATAAGGTTTATTTATTTATATTTTTTATACATATTAATAGATAATATATATAAGCTAATTTCTTATAGTAAATTAAAATTGCATATATACATCAAAATATTGATAATTTAGCTCTATTTTTTCGTTGATCTTGTTCAACAGCAATACTTTTTTCAGATGCTCTTAAACTAACAAGTTCTTTTTGCTTCTCATTATATTTCATTATAATGTTGTTATAATGAACACTTCCTTTCGCATGTCTTGTCAATGATTCTTTTAATTTCGTCGATTCTCTTTCTAATCTTAAAATAGTTTCTCCAATTTGTAAACTTGCTACATTTAATTGTCGATTGGATTCTGTCTTGAGATTATTTTTACCTTTTGGAATATTTTTTTGTATTTCGTTTTTAGCTGCAAATGGAAATAATTATTTAGAAATTTAATAAAATAATTAGAATATAATTTAAAAAATATAGGACAATTTTTCTTAAACATACGTTTATCACCTAAAGTTGCATTTATAAAATTAAAGATATTATTTTCTTCTCGTTCTTTTTCTCTTTGATATTGTTTCTCTCTTTGTTGTTCTAATTTTTGTTGTTGTTTTCGCATTTTACGTTCCACAGAAAATAAATTTTTATCTCCACCAGCATTTTCTCGCAATTCCATACAATGATCTAAAAATAAATGTTTTTAATTAAATAATATATACATATTTATAAACAATATAATAATAAACAAATCATAATATATACCTAAGGATTTACCAGCTGGTAATACCGTTGCTTCAACTGGTTCTACTCTTCCATCTGAATGTTTTCCAAGTCCAGTACCTGCTACATATCCCATTTGAGCCATTAACTTGCTACCTATACCGCGTGTATATTTTTCCCAATTTCCTAATGGTGCATTACTTTCTACTGTCAAAAGAGATTTATGAACAACTTCTTCTTTAGAATATTCTGTTGAATCACTTTCACCATCACTATCTTCAGATGTATCTGACATCTCCAAATCTGCATCATCTATATAATAATGTGAAATAATTAAATGAAATAAATATGAAAAAATTAAATTTGAATATATAACTTTAATTAATAAAATACATACCAAGTGGTAAAAGATCTTGGAGGAAAACTTCCGTGATATTACCACTTGCTTCAAATTTAATTCTGAAGACATCTCCTTCTTTTTCAGGCATTTTTAGTACAATACATCTATGCCATAACTGATTTTTTTGCTTTGCTAATACTCTACTACCCATTTTTATACTTTGAAAATCAGGCTCTCTATAAATAAAGATTTTGTTTTTGATTTTTGTTTGTATTTTCACTATTAAATATCAAAAGATCTATTTACCTATATTCTTGTATGCTAGATAATGATACTAATTCTCCATGTGAAAATCTGCAATCTTCATCAGAAAATTTACATTTTCCATCCAAATAATATGGACATGGAAGCATTTCTTTATGTGTTGGATTTAGAAAAAGTACTCTGACCTAGATAATAATTTATACTTAAATCCTTAGAACTATGTAATAAATGTAAATAAAGAAAGTTTCCTGTTATTTTTTAAAAGAATATTCAAATTAGTATTAATTTAAATCTAATTACAACTAATTCTTGTATTACCTTTATATCTTGCATATTTTTTATTTTTGTCCTATCATTTTGATAAACAGAGCATATCATAGCATTATGATAACCAATGCCACCCCAACTGCTACCATGGGGAGCTCTACATTTCATGCCTTCAAGCTGCCTCAACTCATCCTACAAGATGAACTTGCACCGTATAATTGTGTCATTTCTATGCCATATAGAATACTTGCATACTGACTTCTATATTATTTGAAGCTCCATCATCTTGTTTATCCTGTTCTTTATTCTCAGAATCATTTGAAGTTTTCTCCAGTTCTGCCTAATGAATTTACATCAAAAGAAATGATATAGAATTATTTTCTTAGGTCCCTTGTATCCTCTTCCTATTTCCCTTTTTTTGAAATGAAATGAAATTTAGAAAAGTTTTGGAAAAATCACCTTAAACAAGGCATATTCTTTTGCCAATGGATCGTCCATATCATCGCCGTCGACATCATCATCATCATCATCATCATCATCTAAATCTTCACTGGATGTTTCCACACCTTGTAAGCTTTCTTTTGTTAAAGTAATGAGTTCTTGTATGTCCGATTGTAAACTTAATAAATTTTCCCTATCCGCTTCTTGCGTAGTTACGGACAAGGTTGCTTGAACTTGAGCTAACTAATGTGGTTAAAAAATATTTAGAATACAGATATCAAAAAAATTTTAAATAATTAAAAGATTAATTATAAAAATATTTAAATTAAATTATAAAAATTAATTATAGAATTTATATAGAAGGTTATACTATTTTCTCGTAAAACATCGATGAAATTGATAATTCATACCTGTTGTTCATATTGCGCGATTGCTTCTCTTAAGCTTTCAGCGTCTGTCATATTATCTGTCATATTGTCTTACCCTGTATTGATTTAGAAATTCGTAAATTTGAGAATTCACAAAAAACAGTTTTGACAGTTTACATTCGGGTCCTTTCTATCCTGTATAATTTAACGATCGTAGCAGAGCATTTATACCAATATCAAAAGAATCTGATTTGAATACCCTAAATGTTCATGTCCATTACGTGGCGACATCTGAGCAAAATCATCACGAATTATATTTGTGATATATATTAGCAATCAATAGAAAAAAATTTTTTCGTTTTCAAAAATTTTAAATTTATAATGTTAAGAATTTGTTTATATAAATTTATAATAAGTAATAATATATCTTATATAATTTTAATTTAATATTGAAAAAAATTGAGTTAAATATGTAAAAAAGAAATTACTGAACATCGCCTCGGTAGCGCAGTAGGCAGCGCGTAAGTCTCATAATCTTAAGGTCGTGAGTTCGATCCTCACCCGGGGCAAGAATTTTTTTTCAAATTATATAAAAAATATTATTTCACTTTCAATCATTTTTTTTACCAACGTATAAAGATATTATATTTTGAAATAAAGAAAAGTTATATATGATTTTGATTGTTTTCGATATCGATTATATATCTAATTTATATTTTTAAAAATATAAAAAAATACGATGATTTTAGTTACGTATATTTATATATAACGTTATATATTAAAAAATTGAAAAGATAGATGGTAAATATAAGAAATCAAGATAAGAAATAAGCGTTGAAAAAGACAGAAACGTACAGTTTTATAAACGAGAAACGGAGCAAAAGACAATTATGTAAATGTAACACTCGCCAGAGGGATTCGAGGCTTCTTGGAATTGAAATGTGGTAGTTAAAACGAGTTGTGAATTGTTTGTTGCCCTTTAGCGATACCACAATTTGCAAGCAAACAGCCCATTAAGCTGAAGTTGCCATAGCCTCTACCTTTAGACGGTGAATAGGTGTTGCGACCCCTTCGCTGGAATAAATCTACCGAAAGCGACGTTCATTTCCATCATATCCAACTACTATAGTTGTATATTTGTCTTATACAAAGAAAAGGTGTCGATATATTAAATTGATAATATTTTCAAACACATATTTACCATACCATATTTTAATAATTTTTGATCATCGTTTCTACGTATGACATTTAAGCAATATCGTTTTCCTTTTTTAAAATTTTTGAATATAAATTTCTTTAAAAACGAATTTAATAGTATATCGTGCATTTTTTGCACGATATCGCCATTGAATATCAATGTCGTGATGTGATTATATCTATTGAAATATGATTCAAAGATAATGAAATCGATCCATTGTTTATCGGTTTTTTCTCGTCGTATCTAAATTAATTTAAACGAGAATTATCTCATCGTTCGCTTATTTTTAATACAAGAAAAGTTGCAGAAGAAATTAATAATACGATATAAAACTATAAATCATATCATTGAATGATATTCAACGATGAGGATACGAGCGATCATAGATTATAGATTCACTTAAAAAAAAAAAAAGAATTTTCAATGTTCAAGAAGGAAAAAAATCGATAGAAAATATATAAAGAGAGGAATGTAGACGTAGAACGAATCTCCGCGTGATTTTTTGATCTGGTCGCACTTATCGTATTTTCAGGGTGATTATACGCCCGTGGATATCGGGGAAGCCGAATCGTGGAAGAAAAGGGAAAAGGTTGGCCGGCGAAGAGAGGGCGGATTCGCGTTTTCGCGGGTTATTTTATGCAACCGCTATGCATCCGTTACGTATAAATGCAGAGACGCGGCCCGATTTGCAGTTGCACAGCAGGCTCGTTGCAAGCGCGGTTGATTCCGCGTTGATTCAGGCTGTATTCAGTGCATCGAGCCCCGCGATGAAAAGGCGTTCCGCTTTCTGAATATATTCCAATTAAAAAGTCGGAGCTTCGTTACACTCGGCTCTGCCCGCGTGCACTCTACACCCTGCACCCTGCACCTTCTACCCGCTAGTACAGCCTTTCTCTTTCCCTTTCTCTAACCCTCTCTCTTCCTCCCCGCTCATCCTTCCTTCTCGCGAGATCCATCTTTACCTCCCCCGCAGCCAACCTCGTCACACCCGACTCCTTTTACTTCTGCTTTTTGCCTTCCACCAACGGAGCCGCGATCCCTTTTCGCTACTGCTGTGCAGTCAGCCATCCTGGCTTCCCTCACTTTCTTCCACTTCTCCCCCTCTCTCCACCGGTTTCTACAGCAATTACTCCGCCGCTTTTTTCCTAAAGAATTAGAAATGCCCAGGCTCACCAAGCTTTCTTCCTTCTTTCGCTCCTCCTTTGGGCGTTCGCCTCGCCCCTTTGCCCGTCCTTGATTATCGGTATCCGCGCCTACCCCTTACTTTCGAATTTTAACACGAGAGTTTCAAACGGATCTTTTCTCCGTTCTCGACGATTTTGATTTTAACTTATCGAGTAACATCGTGTAAAAGATATCCTATAAGTGTTTAAAAAAAAAAAAAAGAAATGAATCTTTTCTCTAAAAATTTTTCCTTTCTTGCCACCCGAGTTCTTGAACGGTAACAACGGAATTGTTAATTACCGATCGAGAAACGCGTGGAAACCATGCGGCGAGTACATGTGTGAAAACGATCCGTTTCTAAAGAGAATCCCAGGGCGTGGGTCTTTGAAAAATATAGGAACGATTTCGAGGGGATGCCCCCCCGTGAAGTATTTAACGATGCTGTTCTCGGTCGGGTAAGAGGGAGACGCGCATCATAAACTGAAGAGGGATAAGAAGCGCGTGTCCAAGTGCCAACACGACTTACGCACGTATGCACGCGCGTCCACGGTTATTCGCTCAATGACAATACGCACGTGGCCGAGTGCACGCGACGCCACTTCTCTTCTATCCCAGGATATCTCGTTCGAGTATTTTCCTGAGCGATTCTTCGGATTTATCAGGGATCCTTGATCGTTTCAATACGTATAGCATGCATATACGATTTGAATCATTTATCGATTGGTAAATTACAGCCGTTTACACGATTGAAACGCACTCGAATGTGTGATATGAGGTATCTCTCTATAACCTGTTTATTCTATGTATAATGCGGTAATTTTATCGACTTTATCGAGTCAATTTTTCAGTTTATTCGATCATTAATTGTAAAGCGAGGGAATATTTTGATCTTCGCAGCATCGAGGATAGTTTTGGTGATCAAATCTTTAGAGCATCTAAATAATTTACTTTAAAGCAATAAAAATAATTTTTATTAATCTTTAAATATCTTTCAATAAAATGATGTAAAAATATTTTTAATACGTAAAGCAGTTAACGGTTTAAGATTTGTCATATTGATATACGATATAAAAATTACATAAGTAAAATATGTAAATAGAAATTGATATTTATTGCATTTCCTATTATTTTATTGTAAGAATGTAGTAAAAGAATATTGATATGTTAATTATCCGTCAATTATGAGATAGGTAAATATAAATTACATACCAAATCTGAGAATTGCTTAAATTTTTCCTTTTCTATATTTCATATATTCTCTCTTCACATTATAATTATTGTATGTAACAATTAACTCAATTGATATCGATATATGATACATCGTTTCCCTCGAAACTCGTCAACGATTCTCAAAAATTTGTTTCGTAATTTTTCAAAAAATTATTTTTTCCCGAAAAAGATCCGCGGAACCAGCACTTCGCTCTACTCGAGAAGAACGAGCTCGAGAAGTCACGTTAAAAGACTAAAATTAGAAGCTCGCGAGGAAACGAGGGACAATACGTGCGACGAGAAAATTATTACGAATAATATGCGATTCATCATAGCGAAGTAATTACGCGTGGGGGATTGACTTCTCTCTTCGTAAAGAATTTGAAAGGAGATGAAAAGGGGGAGGGACGAGTGAGAATCGCAAGAATTCTTCCTTCACTCGCGTGATTTCACGCTCGGCAACTTGTATCTCTGTTTCTTCTTCTTTTTTTTTTATTATCATTCGAGGATACAGACACAGAGGAAGAGTAGTTTCCCGGTTTACTTCATTCCCGAATGAATTCGAAAGGAGTGTTTTCCTCCCCGCGTTCTCTCCCCTCCCCCATTCTTCCTCCCATTTCGTTCCCCCGACGACTTGGATAGGAAGTCGACGACTCGCGTGTCGACTTCTCGTCGCCATCGCGCGACAATTTCTTCTTATCAAACGGAGGGGAGAGGGGGGGGGAGGCGGACGGCGTCCTCCACGAATCCTTTTAACTTTCCACGCGCCTTTTCCCCCAATTACGACCCCCATTCATTTTTCTGGAACGCAGCAGCGGGAAATCGATCTCGAAGGGGATCTGCGTTTCAGAGGAGGAAACACAATTTTACGTGGAGTGGTTTTTTATCG